TAGGACAAGTTTGGAACTCTGTGTGAAGCCATACAGGCTATTTAATGCATCCAGTCTGGATGCCAATTAGCCAACAGCTAAATTTGGCTTTTTCAGCGCCTTCCTGAACAAGCATACAGCATAGATGCTGAGCTTGTAACTGTTGCTTGTTGCTGTGCAAAGTCTATCACTGCTACATGTAACCAGGGTAACCAACTGTGCAGTCAAAAGGGATCAGACACCTTAATCTTTATAACAGGCCATAAGATTGTCCCGATTTTCTCACCAGTGGACAGAGCTAATAAACCTGCGCAGTATCTGTGGCTGTTTTATCATCCAAGGATTTATTACTGTGCCATTCTGTGACGTGAACAGAATGGCTGAGAGATGGCGCCACCATGTGACTGGTGCTGGCACACATTTCAAAACACTGTCAATTTGTTGTGAACTGATCTTCGTGGCAAATTCAACTCAAATCCAGAAAATTCAATTAGATCTTTAAAAAAAAAATCCCACAATGATCCTTGTTACTGTCATCAGTGTACATTAGTAATACAAACCAGCCAAAGCTACAGTTAGAATATGTTAGCATTATTAAATACCAGGAGGGGTGAGAAGCATGGCTCTAAACCCTTTTACAAAACCTGCTTTTAGCATGAATTAAATTCATAAACATATTTTGGACATTCCTCAGAGATTTTGTCACACGTTGACATGAAAGCATCATGGCCCACTGTGGAGGAACCCAGGCGGTCTTCCCCTCTCTCCATCCTCCACTTTCCTGTCAGTCTTCACTGTGCCTATCACAAAAGAATAATTTTCTGAAGTAAAAACACTTATTTTGATCTTTTTTCTTTTTTTGTAGCTGAAAAAATAAGATATAATATAGAAACGTCAATAAAAAAAATCAAACTACATAAAGTTTTTAGCAAGACTAAGAGTGTTCATGGCAATGGAGGGGGGTCAGGGGGTCCTTTTGTCCCTCTGTGGGGGGATACTCCCACTAGGTTTAAATCTGGGACTCCCCACCATTTGACCTTAGAACTGAAGAAGCTTCTCGGATGAGAGGTGAAACGTCTTCAAGCAACTTAAAGAAGTCCAGACG